CAAACTCAAAATCCCAAGATCAAGAGTTGCATGCTCTACTGACTGAACCAGCCAGGTGCCTCACAAAAATCATTAATTTTTTTTTTTAAAGATTTATTTATTCGTCAGAGAGGGAGAGCGAGCACAAGCAGGGAGAGCGGCAGGCAGAGGGAGAGGGAGAAGCAGACTCCCCGCTGAGCAAGGAGCATGATGCGGGACTTGACCCCAGGATCATGACCTGAGCCGAAGGCAGTCGCTTAACCAATTGAGCCACCCGGGCATCCCCAAAATCATTAATTTTAAAACACAAGCGATAGTATCAGAGAAAATATTGACCCTGAGAGAAACAAGATTCTTCTCTGAAGAAGATTTTGTAGGATTGCCAAGAAAGAGTACTGACATTTAAAGGTCTTCCCCTAAGGGCCAGTTTGTCACCCTCCAGCAGGATGTCCTTAAACTTAGATGGACAATAAACCACTTTAATGTTAGCAGTACCTGTCACTTTGGCACCAATAGAAATCACAGATAATTTCATATCACATTACAGCTGTCACAGATATCTTGAAATAATGTTTACTCTCATCACTACATGGAAATTATAGTAATTAGACTCACTGCTAGATTGTTATGTAATGTCTTAACAAAAAAGTATAGATTTTGATGACTCTCTATTAATAAAATTGGTTTCCTTTGTTATTGTGATATAATTTCTACTATATGTGATTTAAAGCCAATTTTTTGCAGTATCCACAAAAGCCTACCTTTCAACAAGCCCTGCCCAGTTAGTTTCTCAGTGCCTTGATGTTTTTATCCTAATTTTTATTTTTTTTAAAAGATTTTATTCATTTATTTGACAGAGGGAGTACCAGCAGGGGGACTGGCAGGCAGAGGGAGAGGGAGAAGCAGACTCCCCGCTGAGCAAGGAGCCCAATGCGGGGCTTGATCCCAGGACCCTGGGATCATGAGCTGAGGCAAAGGCAGACGCTTAACCAACTGAGCCACCCAGGCGCCCCCCTAACTTTAATTTTTATTAAATTAATACATGTTCATAACTTTAAAAATAACTAAAAGCACAGCAGTGAAAGAAAACAGATAGGACTACAGCAGAATTAAAAACTACCGTGTGGGTGGCTCAGTCAGTTAAGTGTCTGCCTTGGGCTCAGGTCATGATCTCAGGGTCCTGAGATTGAGCGTTGCATTGCATCAGCCTCCCTGCTCAGCGGGGAGGCTGTTTCTCCTTCTCCCTCTGCCCCTCCCCTGCTCGTGCTCTCTTTCTTCTCTCAAATGAATAAATAAAATCTTTAAAAAAAATAAAAATAAAAACTACCGTGTATCAAATGATACTATCAAGAAAATGAAAGGGCAACTTACAGAATGGAGAAAATATTTGCAAATCACATATTTAATAAGGGTCCATTATTCAAAACATATAAAGAACTCTTGCAACTCAAACAAAAAGACAACCCAGTTAACACATGGACAAGGGGCGCCTAGGTGGCTCAGATTGTTGAGCGTCTGCCTTCCACTCAGGTCATGACCCTGGGATTGAGTCCCTCATCGGGCTTCCTGCTCAGCGGGGAGCCTGCTTCTCCCTGTCCCTCTGCCTGCCGCTCCCCCTGCTCGTGCTCTCTCCCTGTCAAATAAATAAATAAAATCTTAAAAAAAAAAAAAAAACAAAAACTGGCTTCGTCCATGTTTAAAAAAAACGTCATGAAAAAGGAACAGAGGAAGCACAACCTCTTATATGGATGGCCATATGGACAGAGATAAAGTAAAAACCTCCCAATCTCCACAGATTTCTCCAACAAAAATGTAAAAATAGCCAACAGGTATATGCAAAAATGCTCGACATTATTAGCTATCTTGGAGATGCAAATTAAAACCACAAGGAGATACTACTTCATGTCCACTAGGATGGCTAGATTCAAAAAGACCAATAATTGCAAGCGTTGATGAGGATGTGGAGGAATGAGAATCCTCATATTCCACTGGTGGGAATGTTAGATGGTGCAGCCACTGTGGACAATAGTTTGGCACTTTCCTCAGAGCGTTAAACACATTGTTACCATATGATCCAGCAGTTTTACTCCTAGGCATGTACCCAAAAGAAGTGAACATACGTCCGCACGCACGCGCGCGCACACACACACACACACACACACGGGTGTTCAACAGCAATGTTATGGATACTAGCCCCGAAGTGGAAACAATCCAATGTCCCTCAACAGATGAATGGATAAAATGAAGTATACCCATACAGTGGAAGCGTATTCAGCAATAAGGAAGGAAGTGCTCATAGATGCTACAACTTGGATGAACCTTGGGAACATTACGCAAAATGAAGGAAGCCACACACAAACGACCACCATGTGTGTAAGTATCCAGAATAGCAAATCCCCGAGACAGAATTCATGGTTGCTAAGAGCTGAGGAGGAGGAGGGAATGAGGAGTGACTACTAATAGTTACAGGGTTTCTCTTTGGAGTGATGAAATCAGTAGTGATGGTTGAACACTGTGAGTGTGCTAACTGCCACTGAACGGTACACACTTTAAAACACACTTTAAATGGGTGAATTTCATGGCATGTGAATCAGATCAATAAAGCTGTTACAGCGTGAAAAAAAGAAAAGAAAAAGAAAGGCTTCCAGAAAGACAGACAACTGAAAGATAGATATAAGGAAGAAAAGATCAGAGGCTGAGGCTCCAGCCGACAGGTCCCACATCTGAGTGATGGGAATTTCGGAAAGAGAAAACAGAACAAATGCAAGTGAGGAAATTATTTTTAAAAGTAAATGCAAGGCAGGGCACCTGAGTGGCTCAGTCGGTTAAGCATCTGCCTTTAGCTCAGGTCATGATCTCAGGGTCTTGAGATCAAGCCCCATGTCGGGCTCCCTGCTCAGCGAGGAGTCTGCTTCTCCTTCCTCTTCTGCCCCCCTTCCCCGGCTTGTGCTCTCACTTGTACTCTCTCTCAAATAAATAAATAAAATCTTTAAAAAAAAAAAAGTTAATGCAAGGCTATTTGTCAGAAACAAAAGACCTGCGTCTCCATAGAAAGGGCCTATCCGCTGCTGGCACATGAACGAAGCCCCACTCGGCCCGGCGCTGCGGAATTTACAAGAGAGGTCAAGTGAGGAGCCTAACAGCTTCCATCAATAAAAAAACACAAAGGCCTGAGAGGTGGAATGCATCAAACTTTTCAGTACAAGTAAAGGAAGCTAAACGCAATATAGCCTTAAAGATTCTGAGGGAAAATGATTTTCAACTTTATAGGTGTGTGTATATATATAGGTTATAGGTGTTATATATGTAGGTTATATATAATATATATACCTATAAACATATACATTTACATATATCATTTATTATTTTCAACTTTACACCCAGCCCAACCCTGTGAGGTCTGAATAAAGATACGCAGTTTCCAAAAATTTATCTCGAATTGAAGGTGTGTGGCAGCAAAGTGAGGGACGATAGCCAAGAAAGCAGAAGGCCATTGGTCTGGAAAGCAGGGTGTCCACCATGGGACAGCGGCCAAGGGCAGTCCCAGGTGATGGAATGGGAAGTCTCTGGACAGCAGCTAGGCAGTAGGCCCAGAGAGTAACCTGGCCAGATGAGAAGAGAGAACGAGAGGGCACCAGGAAAAATATGAAATCATGAGGTTATCTGATACGTGTGCATATCTGGGAAATAACACAGATGCAGGCTGGCAGATCTGGTGGAACGTGTGAGAAAGTAACAAGAGCTTAGAAAATGAAGAGTATAAAAAAGATGAGGCAATCGTTCATTTTAGGAAAAATAAAATGTGGAAAAGGAAATGAAATCATCATACAGTATTAGGCTCTGCAGTGAACAGTATTTCCATGCTCACGGGGCCCAGAACTACTGGTGGTGTTTAACCCCAAACGGTGATGTCCCACACGGAGGGTGGCGCCCAGGAGGCAGACATGACCAAGCCAACTGCTCATCTCTTAGAGCAGGAAATCAATACATGAAGATGATGAATTTGAGAGGAAATAAAATACCAGAACGCACAGCTGCCGAGAGCTGCAAGCAGGGAAGGCGGGGGCCGGGTGGCGGGCTACCTGGTTCCTGTTGGAAGGCTTTCAGTGCCTTCTCTGGGCCTTGCCTCCACTCTGACTTGTTAAATACTCTTACTGTGGAAAGTTCTTAAGACTGTTCTCTGCACAGCAGCAGTGTGACATCAAAGCCGGGACACTGGCCTAGAGGTCCATGGATACGGACCCATCCAAGGGGGCTCTCCTAGGCCCCATGCCATCTGGGGTCAGTGGGATGCTGGCTCCATCCCTTCTGGATACTCTGGAGACCTGTCCTTCCTGCACGTTCTTTGGTGAGGGCCTTCACTGAGGACGAGCTGTGGCCCCTGGGGCCATGGCCTGGAGGTTATCAACCACCTGTGAATCTAGGCTCCCTGCATAATTTTAGCTCTTTCTGGGACTCATTTCTTGGGGGAATTTTTCGAAACAGGCACGATACAGATAGAAACAGAAGTGGAGGAGTAGCTGGCTTCTGTGTCATCCGTTCACAGTTCCTCACACCCTGCTGAGGCCCGAGGTTAGATCCCTGGGGCTTGGCATATGGTAGGTGCTCAATAAGGAGCTGTTGAAGGCCTAAGTATGGTACCAGCTGTCTCTGTGTCTGCCACTTCTTTGGGCCCTCCCATGCGTGGCCACCTCCCATCCTCACAAACGCTCACACAGTTGGGGGGCAGGAGTATCTACCTCTCCGTTACACAGAACAAACTGAGGCTGGGAGGCACATGACTATGGTCACTTCACGAGGAAGGGAAGAGCGGCATCCCAGCCCAGGTGTGGCTGAGCCCACAGCCTGTGCCCCCAGCAGCTGCTGCCATAAATCCTTCCCGAAGAAAGGTTAGGTTAGGTAGAGAGATGGCAGAAAGACGGGAAACAGGAGGGGAGCTCACAGCCGACTCCAGCAGGGAACCTGAGGCACAAGCCGGGCCCCCTTCTCTCCAGCCCAGGGGCCGTCCCTGCGGCACTCACCTTCTTCAGAGAGGTTGTTCTCTTTGGTCTCCTTGTCCATCTGGCAGCACCAGCCCTCCAGCCGCTCCGTTTCTGCCTGCAGGAGCTTCAGGAACCAGAAGCCGTCCCGGCGGCAGGCCCCTGGCTGCACTGGCTCTGCTGGGGAGCTGGAGGAGGTCTCGAGCCAGGGGTCAGGCGGGGGCAGCGACGATGCCTCTAGGGCAGGGTCGCTGTTGTCTCCATAGGAGAGGTTGCGCTTGATCTGGGCAATCTTGGGGGCCTGCCGAGGGCCGGCATCGATGCTGATGGAGTTGGGGTGTGGGGTACAGTCCGGGAGGCTCCTCTCAGATGACTTACAGCTTGAGTCATTGGCATCCTGGGTATCTGAGTCGGTGTCCCGTCGGGAGGACATGCTGTGAGAGGGGGCGCTGCTTCTGGGGGGGTGGAAGGGTGGGGGATGAAGTGGGGCAGGGATAGGAAAAGGTGAGAGTCACCAGGAGGGCCAGGGACCAAAGGCCACCCCAACCCGGACACACGGGAGACAGAGAAACGGATGCATCGTCTGCTCACCATGCGCCTGAAGCGGGTCCCACAGCCCCCCCGTCTCATTCTCTGCTCAGCCCTTGCCCCGCCCGTCCGCGCCCACACGCGCACGCGCGCACACACACACACACGGACAAGGTCATAAGGTTGCCTGTTTACTGCAGTGGGGCCAGGAAGCCCACCAACATCGGGGTGCTGGGCCATGTCTCTGCTGGCCTCGGCCCCCGGAGGGCTGATTAATCTCGTAGAGCAAGCGCTCACTGGCCCGCCCGCCTGCCTGCCCAGCCTCCCATGCCTGGGCCACTGCCCGAACCCCAAACCCAGCTTGGTTATTAGAAATCCAGCAAGGAGAAGTGGGTTAGGGAGAGCAGGAGGAGAAGGCGCAGGAGAGGTGAGAGCAGAGGGAGGGAGAGGAGGGGGAGAAGCAGCCACCACCTGTGTGTGACTTACCGCCAGTCGTCCTCTACCTGAACCCCGATGGACTGGAATTTGGTAGCGGGACTGGGCTCCTCTTTTGGCACTGGCTGAATGCAGTCAACCTTATTGAAGGACAACGACAGCAACAGCACGGAGACAAAGACAAAAATAAAAAACAAACACCACACTTGCTGCTGAAATTCACATTAGTGGGACGACGCAGAAGGACAGACAGACACGAGGCATGCGGACACTGCACATGGGCCCGAGGCCAGACCCAGTGAAGCCGGGCACTGCTCATTCGCGCGGAGGCGGGCGGGCAGGTGGGCGGGAAGGGGGGATGGGGTGGAGATGACTGGCTTTCCCTACTCTGAGGAGGGTGCCATCACATCGATTGCTTTGGGTCCGTTGTCCTCCGAGAGGTGGGAACCGTTCCTTCTAGTCCTCTCCTTTACACGCATCAGAGAGAAGAAAAAAAAAAAGAAGGACGACGAGAGAGAAAGAAAACACACACACACACACAAAGCCACAGCCGTTATCTGGTGTAGTCGAAGCTGGGGGCTGTCTCGAGGCAAGGATCGCTCCCCCAACCCTGCCGCTGAAGGGCAGGCTGGAGGCGCCTGTCTCAGGGCCAAACCTTGGACAGCGGTTCTGGATTTGGAAACTGCCCGCAGGTGATACAGTGAGGCCCCAGGACACTCTGGGATGCTGTCCCTGGGCCTGGATGGCTGAGGTGACCTTCAGCAGTGGGTGGGCCTGGGGAGCAGTAGGAAGGACCAGGGCCAGGGCCAAGTGCAAAAGCTAGCACTTTTCCTACGCTCCTGTGAAGTGGAAGGAAACCCGGCAGCAATCATGCCCTGAGTCCTCCGTTCTTCTCTGGGACTAAGATGTGTGGCCATGGAGCAGCCAGGCCAGCCCTTCCATCACTGCTCACGAATGAGGAGAACCCACACCTGACCTAGGGCTTGAGGTACCAAGGGGTGGGATGCGGGTTGTCAGGGCATCCCTGGAAATTGGGGACTCCCAGTCCCTTGTCTTCACAGATGTGGAAGGGGGGCTGCAAGGCTTTCTGGAGCAGGGGCCGGGCGCCAGGCTCCTCGCCATGGGGACGCAGCTGCATTTCTCCTGCAGCAAAAGTCCACTTGGGAAGTGCAGCATCACGGATCTCAAAGAGCTGTGACGAGAGCTCGGCACAGGAGAGGGGGTGAATCCCAGAAAGGGGAAAGCCCAGATGGTCCTAAGAGCTAGGATCCTCATCCCCACGTGAATTTCTGGATGAAAGGAACCAACGGTGAGCCTAGCTCAGACCTTCTGAAAAGACAGGAGCCTCTGGTTTGGCCAAGGAGAGGGTGGGTCTGCCCAAACAATGGCCCTCAGTGGTCAAGGCCAAGAGACTAGGCTATTCTCATGTCCCTAAGAATCCCTCTTGGAGGAGTTTCACAGGGCGGGGGCTGGACTCCTTACGAAGGAGCCCAGAAATCATTAGTCCCCCAGACAACTCTGTTTCTGTATTTGTGGGGAAACTCAAGCCCCAAGTTGCCTCTTAGGGGGAAAAGAATTCGGGCCAGTGCAAGACATTGGCTAGTGAGCCTTCTCTGGTCAGAGCCAGGGGTTCTCCCTCGTGTCTCAAGTTCCTTGGGCATTCTAGCACTCTGCCGTCCACTCAGCCACATCCGGTTGCTCAGGGGCGGCTGGGGAAATGGGGAGCCCTTGCAGCCCTAAGCCACAACACACACCAGCTTGACCTCCCTGAGGGCTCCACCTTCCCCAAGCTCAAGGCTCACCGTAGCCGCCCTCCCTTCCTCCTGCCCTGAGTGTGGTCCACTTTAGTCTGACGTCCAGCCAGAGCACGGAGAGTTCTCTCACTCTGGAGTCAAAGCAACTCTTGACTCTGCGAGGCAGGGCTCCAGCTGCCCCAGCTTGGCTGCCAGAGAACAGATTACTGCTGTCCGGTGCATGCAGGAGGCGCGGTGACGCAGGGGAGGGGACACTGGTGTGCCCTGTCCTGCTGCGTGCTGCGGCCATGGGTGCATAGTGAGTTTGGCTTCCAGGAGGGTCTGCTGGCTTTGGCCACTCAGTCCCGGGGAAATATCTGCCTGGATCCTTTCCCGTGGAGGGAGGCATCGGGACAAGCATCACACTTCTCAATTTGACATGGGCCTGGTGCCTCGAGCCACCTACCTGTCCCCAAGGCCCGAGGGGGCTCTGGGTAAAGTTCCCCTCAAGTAACCCCCATGGCTCAAGGCCTCTGGGTCCCGGGCCCAGGCCCATCGGCATCTAGGCTCCACGCTGCTCCCGCCGCCAAGCGGGGCTGTGGCCTCCACGCCCGAGCTGACCTTGGATTAGAGAACTGTTAGGCCAGTCCCACCTCCCACAAGTCGGCTGGCAGGGCAAAGGGTGGAGTGGACAGACAGACGGTGGACAGGTGAACAGTGGACAGGAGATGGCTGGCTGAGTGTAACTACATTCACTGGGACAGCCCATCAGAGGAGCAGGGGCACATGCCCACAGCTGCAGACCACCACAGGAGTGGGCAAATGCAAGGAAGGCGTGGCTATGCGTGTAATTTGGTTTGGCCACTTAGAGCCAACCCCCCCCAAATACAGACAAACCACTTTGCCCCAGAGCCCTAGTGGGCCTCCACCAGATGTAATTACACACAGGCAGGTGCAGAGTGGGCTGAGGACACAAGAGTGTGAAAGGGACCCCTACTTGTATTCCTATAGATGACAGTTTCCTTTTGGGGATGGCCTCAGGGTGGGATTCAGAGCTGGTCAGCGTCCCTTGTTCACTCTTCAGAGCTGCATGTTTTGGGGGTGGCTCAGGAGCCTCAGGGGCTGGGGTGATTCCGCCCCGTGTCACACTGGGCGGTCGGGTACTGCTGTCCAGGCTGTCCGACGAGTTGCTCAGGCCCGACTGGCTTGTCACCTCACTCTTGTGGTCCTGGCTGTCCAGGTAGGTGTCCTGGGCAGACTCAGTACTGCTCTGGACCGTGACAGAGATGAAGGGCTTTGACGTGGTACGTGGAGGGACCGGTGGTGGGGTCTTCTTATATGCCACTAGGCATGATGAACCTGCAGACAGGGGAGAGGAGGATAGGGAGAAGGTAAGGTCCCAACCCTCTCGAACCCCTTTCAGGTTCGAGAACCCACCTGACCAGCCCTAGCTCTGGCCTCCGCTGTTCCCTCAAGGAGGATTTCTGGAGCAGGAGAGTGGGGGGGGGTCTGACAGCAATGACCAAGACAGACAGACACAGGCCCTGCCTCCCCTCCTACTAGGTCAAGGCCAAGTCTAGCTGGGGATGCCACCATGGACCAAAGACATCCTCCACCTCATAGTCCCATACAAAGGTATTTTCCAGCTGGGACATGGGTTAGATGATAAAGTTCATGGTGCCACAAGACAGCCTGACCCAGTGCAAGGGGAGACAGTGACAGCAGAGTAGAGTGCAAGAATACTAAGCAATGTTAACCTTGCTTCCTAAAGCTCACTGAGAGACCTACTGCTCCCCCGGACTTTTCCTCCTCTACCTTTCCTCTGCTTGGATGCCCCCTCTCTGTCTGGTCAAAGATGAGCACCTCCTTCAGGGTCCAGCTAAACCTACCCCCATCTTGCTGTTCCACCCCCCCCATACATATGGGGTTATGTGGAAACCCCATACACCAGTCTGCCTCCCTTAACACTCCACCATACCTGGTCCAATTCCCCATTCTCCACCATGATTCAGGGAACCAGGACCTACCATGGGTGGGAGCTGGGGTCATCTCTGAATTCCAGATGTAATTACACATCTGGCCTGGGGCTGGCCCACAGCAGGGGCACAGAATGCTGAAGGTCCACAGCTGGCTTATTAAATGCCCAGCTTTTTGTCTGAAACAGAAGGTGCTGTTCAAACAGCAGTCGCCACTTGCTGTGAGGGCCTGGGTCAGACCCGACAGCTTTTCTCAGCATCTTAATTCCAAACGCCCTTTCCCCCATGAGGATTAAAACAAACCTCTACCTGAGTGACTTTAAGCTCTGCCTTCAAGGGGCTACTGATCAGGGTGATGCTGATGGCCCAAAGGAAACCCACAAAACCAGGCCCGGGGCTGCAGGGGCCACCAGCAAGGCACAGCAGAATCCGTCCGCCACTGTGAGAATCACTACCCAGCCCTGTCAGAATGGCTAAATTACAAAACGGTGACAACACTAAGTGCTGGTGAGGATGTGGGGAAACGGAATCACTCATACATTGCTGCTGGGAATGCAAGACGGTACCGCCACCCTGGAAAATGGTTTGGCAGTTTCTTTCTTTTGGAGATTTTATTTTTAAGTAATCTCTATTACTTAGGGGGCTCAAACTCACAACCCGGAGATCAAGAGTCATCCGCTCTACTGACTGAGCCAGCCAGGTGCCCCTTGGCAGTTTCCTTTAAAGCTAAATATGCAGTTATCATACAATCCAGCAATTGCACTTTTGGGCATTTACTTATCCCACAGAAAATGGCAACATGTTCACAAAAGAACTCCTACATGAGTGTTCATGGTAGCTTTATTTGTCCCAGCCAAAAACTAGAAACCACCTAGATACTTCAGTGACTGGGTTAACAAACTGGCACATCCAGACTGGAATACTACTGAGCAATAAAAAGGAACCAGCTACTGATATAGGCAACAACTTGGATAAATCGCAAGTGAATTATGCCAAGTGGAAAAAAGCAATCTCAAAAAGGTACATACTATACAGCTCTATTTATAAAGCATTCTTCAAACGGCCTGATTATAGAGATGGGAAGCAGATTATTGGTTGGTGGGGAGACGACGGGGAGAGGGTGATGCGGAGGCTGGGAGGGACATGGGTGTGGCTATAAAAGGGTGGCAAAGATCCTCCGTGTGCTAAGAAGTGGGGACAGGCGGTGGACACATGAACCCGCACAGCACTGGACACGAAGCGAGTAAAGGGAAAATGGTGGAGTCTGAGTGAGACCGGCTGGCTAGTATCTACATCAATATTCTGGTTATGACATTATATTAGTGTTGTAAGATTATACCATTGAGGGAAACTGGGAAAAGAGTAGATCGGATCCTCTGTGTTATTTCTTACAACTATGTAACTTGCAATTACCTAAAAATAAAAAATTTAATTTAAAAAGCCCTTCCATCAGTCGATTCATCCGACAAATGTGTTAGGCCAGGCCCTGTACAGACTCCAGGAAAGCTAGGAGCCTCATCAGCAGAGAATCAGTCGTGAAAGGAGTGCTTGAACGGTAACAGAAGCCACAGTGGAAGAGCCTGGGAGCCGGGCCTCAAGCCTGAGTCTGGAGGTGACAAAGGGCTCTGGGAGCTCAGAGCCAGGAGCGCTCAGTTCCCACTCTGCTCAGAATTTCCCAGTCCTGCTGAGGCCTTGAGGGAGGGATCTGTCCAACACACCCCCAGTCTCTGCCTCCCCAGCCTGAGAAGGGCGGCCCACGGGCAGAAGACGACAGGCAGGGCAGGCAGGAGGCTGGGCTGTGGTCAACAGGAGCAGGACCCTTCCATGCACTGCCCGGCGGGAGAAGGGACGGGCCCGCTTGGGGAGGAGGGGCTCCTGTGTTCAGCTTGAGGCCATGAAGCACAGGCTCAGCCCCAAGCTGGGTCATTCACTGAGCTGTACTCAGCAGCTTTATGGCTTTGTAATTTAAACCTCATAGTGACCCTGTGAGGCGGGGACAGGATTGTGCCCACTTTACAGATGGGGCATGGGAGGTTCAGAAAGGTCAGATAACTTTTTTTTTTTTTTAAGATTTTATTTATTTATTTGAGAGAGAGAAAGAGCATGAGAAGGGGTAGGGTCAGAGGGAGAAGCAGACCCCCTGCCGAGCAGGGAGCCCCATGTGGGACTCGATCCCGGGACTCCAGGATCACGACCTGAGCCGAAGGCAGTTGCTTAACCAACTGAGCCACCCAGGCGCCCCAGAAAGGTCAGATAACTTACCCAGAGCTGCTAACAGTAAGTGGCAACCAGCATCTGTTCAGCTGTGCAGCCTCTCTCACTCTGCTACCCCAGCTTTAGGCCCCTCCCTGCTAGGACGGGGCTGCACTGATCACTGTGCCCCGCAGTATCCTGCTAGATTCTGGAGCCCGTCTGCAGGGGCGTGCCCAAGCTGAGATCGGACTGCTGGAGGAGGGAGGGCCTAGACTAAAGGCAGAGGCCTGGCTTCTAGGCCCTGGCAATCACTCATGGAAGTCTCTGGCCCACTCTGGACTTTCCAGTACCCCCATCTGTTCAGAGGGTGGGGAGGAGTTCTAACCCAGGTGGTAGCACACCATATTCACACGGCCCTTGACAAACTCAAAGCATTTTCCCATTCGTTCTCATTCAAGGATAGGAGAGATTCCTGCTCTAAATCCCTTCTCTCCACTGCCTGAAATTCTACCATGAGAGTCATTCCTTTGATGGTAAGGAGCCAGAAGCCAGAAGGCAGCAGAGAACCAAACAAGCCTGAGTTCAGATCCCAGCTCTGTCTTACACTAATTTGGTGGCCACAGGAAGGGATTACAGAGGCTACATCACAGAGAGTAAAGCTTCAGGCCCAGGGCTGCCATGGCTCCTATTAGTTTCTGGTACAGAGTGAGCTAGACCTGGAGTGGGGGTGGGGGGTGGTGAGCTACCTCTGGGTCACTGGTCAGAGAGGCTGGGCTCGTTCTCTGACCAACCCTGGGGAAGTTTTCCTGCAAGAGCTAGACATTAAGAGCAGCTTGTTGAAGCCAATGGCCAATAGCGCCCAGCAGAGCAAGAACTGGGTTCTAAGCCTGGCTGAGGCTGGGACCCATCACGGTCCTTGTCCCCATCTGTGGGGTGGTGCTGTCACTGGCCTGAAGGAGTTAGTGTGTGCAGTGACCTATGTGGAAGAGGCATCCCTGTCAGGAGACAGTGGGGTGCCCAGACAGAAGACTAACCCTCCAGCCTCTCGCTCAGGGTTGTCCAGGTCCAGAGTCCTGCTGACACACACTCAGAGGGAAAGTGAACTAGCAAGGGGCCAGGCCACATGGCCAGATGTGGTAAGAGGAAAGGTGAACTTATCTAGGATTTGCTAGGTCTCCTGGGGCACAAGTCACAGCCAGGTAAGTGGTGTGACTAAGAGGGAGGATTTCAGGGCCTTGGGGCCTCCCCGGGCGGCAGGCATCCCTCAGCTCTGAGCACTGTCTTTCCCCAGGGCAGGAGGATGAAAAACAGGCCCAGGACTGGACACTCCGGCCATTCTGTGTTCCTTGCCCCCACTGCCCTTCTTCCCAGCGTGGGGCTATTACACATGCTGCTCCTTCTACCTGGAAAGTCCCCACTCCTCATGCTTCCAGTGTCCCTTCTTCAGAGAGGTCTCCTCTGACTGCCCTCTACTCTCAGATCAGCCAGCATCTCCATCAGAGCCCCTGTCGCATTTGTCATCTGCTCATTTAGGCATTTACTTGTTGATGGTTATAGGCTTGGGGCCGTTGGGGGAACTCTGTCTGTCTTGGCACAGCAGGTCATATCCCAGGCCCAGGGTACTACCTCAAGCTTTAGAGAAAGCTCTCAATAATATTTGTTGAATGAGAAAATGAACCTCATCCCTCCCATAAAAACCGGTTAGTTGCCCCAAGTCAAGATCATGTAGCTTTAGCGAAGGCTCCCAACACTGGAGTATGTAAGCTTCTTGTCTCCTCCCCCTATTGGAAGCCCTTTCTAAAGCCTGGTCCCGACTGACCACCCATCTCTGCAGCTTCATCTCCTGTTCTTCCACCCCCTTAGCATGGCCCTTCCAGCTTCAGAGAACCAAATGTACGTTTTTCCAAACACACCACACTCTGCATGCACCCAAGCCTTTGCACATGCACTTGGCCTACCAGAATCCCTTTGCGGGTCCTTCAGCCAGTCCCTCCACCCCAAGCTCTTGCTGGCCCAGGCAGTCTGCCCCTCTCCTTTCTCTGTGGATCAGCTGGAGCACTCGGGGCTGTGGCTGTGCCCGACTGAGTGTGTGTCCCATGCGTGTCACCAGCCCAGGACCCAGCCCAGGATCCAGCAAAATCGTCATTTGCCAGTTAAACTTTAGAGGGGGGCAAGTGTCCCAGAGACCCA